ATTGGACAGGCCAAGGTCACGGTCAACATTTTCTTTCTTACATGCCTCATTGGCCAGTCTATCAGCACAGTCATAATACCTAATTCCAACATGGGACGGAATCCATACAAATTCAATACGAAAGTTGTTCTCATTGGCAGATATCACACAGAACCTGACGGGCTGTTCATTGATTTCAAAGCACTTTGAGAGTCACAGAATATCACCTCACCTCCATTTTCTTTAAGGTAGACTGTGGCTAAGTAGATTCCAGTTAGTTCAGTTTGTGTTGTGCTGGCCCAGTTGTTCAGCCTTTGTTTGTTTGACACTATCATCTCCTTTTCTTTATATATTACAATTGCACAGCCTGTTCTACCTGTGTTTGTCTGCACAGAACCATCAGTAAAAGCAAAACTTTCACTTAATTTAATACTCTCTACGTGTCTGTTAATAGTTTCTAGTGTGACACATCTCATCACATCGGTGTTTAACATTTGTAGGTAAGGGAGGGTGGTAGTAGGTCGGTAAGGAGGTGAGAGCGGTAGATGGGTAGAAGTTAGGGGTTATAAGTAGATTTTGGGGTGTGTAGTAGAGGGGTGGGGGTGGTAGACCGGTAGAGAAGGATGGGTGGTAGACTGGTAGAGAGGGGTGGTAGACAGGTAGAGGAGGAGGGGTGGTAGACTGGTAGAAGGATGGGTGGTAGACTGGTAGAGAGGGGTAGACAGGTAGAGGAGGAGGGGTGGTAGACTGGTAGAGAGGGGTGGTGGGGGGGTAGACTGGTAGAGAGGGGTGGGGGTGGTAGACTGGTAGAGAGGGGTGGGGGGTGGTAGACTGGTAGGGGTGAAGGGCGACCCCAGTCCGTCAGAGAAGATTGGGTGTCACAATCCTGTTGTAGGTCAAGGCTTAGGCTAACTTTCTCGCCACGATGAGATTATTGAAAACCTTCACACTTCGAGGAGCTACTTGTGTTGAGGATGACTCCCTCCCTCCCTGTCTGTCTGTCTGTCTCCCCCACTCCCCCCTGTCTGTCTGCCTCCCTCATTCCCTGTCTGTATCTCTCACCCCCTCCCTCTCTATCTGTCAATCTTCGGCTTCCAACACACACACACACACACACACACACACACACACACACACCCCAGGCCTCCGTGACCCCCCCCTCCGACCAAGAAAACAATGACATATAACACAACCTTGATTTAAAGCACGCCATTATTACCCCCAAGCTATATACAACACCATAGTTTAACGTTTCCTCCTGAAGACCAAAAAAAAAAAATTAGGACGGTGTCATGGTGTGTGAGGCTGGCTGGAAGACCTGGCCATCTAACGCTAAATAATGTCAACTGTACTGATCCTGTGGTCGTTATATATGTAGAAGCTATTATTCTCTATTATCTAATGGCTATATCACCGTGTCCCTATTATCTAATGATCATAATATTTAGCGGGGATATATAGTTTAGAGGGAGGAAAGTTTTGAAGATTGTAAATAATTGAGGAGTGTGTGTGTGTGTGTGTGCGCGAGTGTGTGTGTGTGTGCGCGAGTGTGTGTGTGTGTGCGAGTGTGTGTGTGTGAGTGTGTGTGTGTGTGTGTGTGTGTGCGTGCGAGTGTTGAGACTCCTCCCCCTTCAAGGTATAACTCCAGGGTTGATATACTGTAAATATAACATGAATATAAATACTCTTAAACATATTATTAGATTATTGAAGCCCTGTAGTCTGTCTGTCTGTCTCAACCACCAACACACACACACACTCAACTCTATTCAACCCCGCCCTCCCACATAACGCTACTCAGCCTTGACGCGGAAACCTGTTAAATATTTCCGCATAACACTAAACACCTGTGACCATAGCAGCACTCCCGAGGCTTCCATCACTACACCCAGCATCAGGATCACAACCCGAGGAGACATGATGATTCACCTCAAGACTCTGTTCCTCTCCCTAAAGCGTGTCTCACCTGGTGGTCTTTAATTAGCTCATGTAACGCTATTTTTTTCTAATCTAACGCTAACCTAATCTAATATCACACACACACAAGCTTACCCCTCTCTCTCTATCTTTTTCTCACGCAGACACTCCACCTCCCTCTCTCTCTCACAGCCCACCTCGCGCTCTCTCTCTCACACAGCCCACTCTCTATCGCTCTCGCGCTCTCTCTCTCACACAGCCCACTCTCTATCGCTCTCGCTCTCTCTCGCTCTCTCTCTCTCCACGCTCTATCGCTCTCTCTCTCTCTCTCTCTCTCTCTGTCACACACTCCACCCCTCTCTCTCACACACAGTAAATAAAACAGACTCTCTCTCTCCTATGCATGGTCTGTGTATGCATGTGTGTAGTCATGTAGGATATGTATGTTTATGCACACAGGAGGGCCCTTTGTGTCGTGGTATCCAGGCGTGACGGAGGGGGCCAAGGAGGGTCAGGGAGGAGGGTCAGGAGGGGTCAGGAAGGGGGGGTCAGGGAAGGGGGGTCAGGAAGGGGGGCAGGGAAGGGGTCAGGGAAGGGGTCAGGGAAGGAGGGTGGGGAAGGAGGGGTCAGAAGGGGGTCAGGGAAGGGGGCCAGGGAAGGGGGGGTCAGGGGAAGGAGGGGTCAGGGAAGGGGGGGGTCAGGGAACGGTCAGGGGGCCTCCTCATCCTTACAACAAAACAGGGAGGTTGTTATGGTTCTCTGTGTATGGTGGAGAGTGACTCATGTCTACTAGTGTGTGTGTGTGTGTGTGTGTGTGTGTAGTGGATAATACAGTACCTACATGTATTCAAATAGATACATACATTCAAGCATACACACACACACACAGCAGCCTCCATCTATCAAAGTATACACACACACACACTCTACGGTACACAAGGCGCCCCAATGACCTTCACAATAAATTACCCACCGCCTGTGTAAGCTACGGGAGGGGGTACACGCGGCACAACAAAAACAGCAATAAAAAATAATAACAATAATAAAAACAACGATAACAATAAAAACAATAACAATAAAAAATAGTAACAATAATAATAACAGCAATAACAACTATATAACATTAATAACAACACTAACAATAATAACCTGAAACCCAGAATTAATACAAAAAAATTAAGAAACGCAAAACACACACACGTAACTTCAAATGTCTTTAAAACCCTCCCAAAAAAATCTCAAGTGGATAGTCAGAAGTTCCTCCAATTTGAGTCCATATAAAACTGGGATGGGCGTGAATGGTAGTGGTGTGGGCGTGGGTATGTGTGTTTAGTAGCAGCAGCAGTAGTGGTGGTGTGTGTGTGTGTGTGTGTGTGTGTGTGTGTTGAACCAAAGTGTACATTAAGTATTACATTAACATTCAGTCCAGCTTTACGGCCCCAAACACAACAGCCAGACAGTTCCCAACAGCAGCAGGTGTCATAATCTTTCTTGGGGATTACTGTCCGATTAATCCTCCAAACACATTAATGGATTATAACCTGTAACTGACGGATAATATTTTGCGTATTAATAAACTGTATAATATAACTCGTATGTAAATCATAGCTTAACACGAGTGATTCTATTAAATTTTTTAGCATGGCTATTACGGTATTGTTTTAATGTAGTATAAGAAAATTTTTATTATCTTTGTTAGGTTAGATTAGGTCAGGTCAGGTCAAGTTAGGTTAGAGTAGGCTATGTTAGATAAGGTTAGGTTAGGTTAGATTGGATTTAGGTTAATTAAAGTAATGATGCTACTCATTTAAACTCTCTACTAAGTTTATCATGACGATCGTCCACACACACACACACACACACTACATCCTTGACCAACCGTTGGGTCAAGGCCTATCAAGCGCTGCTACCGCTGTGCAGCCGCCCCCCTTGGCCAATGTCGGCCCATTCCTCAAGTCCCTCTCCTCTACCCATCCTCACCACCGGGAATCAACATAATCCCATCAAAAGTGACAATTTAGTTTCGGAAAGAAGTGGGATCAGTGTTGAACAGTGTTTAAGCCACTGAATTCAGCACTAGACCGCACTAGACCGTACCAGTGAGAGCCGTGACCCACCACTGAGATAAGCACCCCTGGAAACCATCCTCTGACCAGACGGTAACACAACACCACCTAGCAGAGAGTGAGGTACTGTGACTCCACCCGTGTCTCCATGACCACGTGAGGTCCTTCATATTAACACCCGTGGACGAGTTACTGCACCACGTGAACACCACATCACCAGGTGTCTCCATGACCACGTGAGGTCTTTCATGTTGACACCTATGGACGAGTTACTACACCACAGTAGGGCAAGAGACTAGCCCCTGCCATCAACTGTAACTATAATTTGTATGTTCAATTCATGTTCCTTCTCGTTTTAGTAATGAAAGCTTTTGTTAAACGACCCACCTACCCCATGTCTTTGTATGTAATAAGTCATTTTTGCCTAATGTATATTTTCAGTTTTCGAGCTGCATAACTTTTTTAATAGAATGTTAATTATTATTATTATTACACACACACATACAGATCAGCTCAAGATAAAACCCGAAAAAGAATTAACACATTGAAACCATCCCAACGTCACCATCCCCCCAGAACCTGTGCCCTTCGTCAGGTTCCTCCGGGGTAAATACACACCTGTTTGATGACTCTACCAATACAGTAAGGTTTCCGGCACTAACCATCCCCCCTTAAACCCCCCCCGGCATTCTCTGCCAGACATTGACACTTTGCTCACTGGATGGCACCACCGACGAGCGTGTCTAGGGTAATTATTATTGCATCAGACCACCAGAGTCCACGACAGGCCTATCCTAACACATCCCACCCCAACACAGCCCACCCCAACACACATCCCACTCCAACACAGCCCACCACAACACATCCCACCACAACACAGCTCAATTCTAACATCCCACCACAACACATCCCACCCCAACACAAACCCATACATATAATACCTGACCAAGTGACGATGAGTGATTGGGGTAGAAGACTCCGACTGCAAGACTAACACCAAGTCATCTCATTATTTCAGAGGAGCAGGTGGCGGAAGTGATGCAGTATTCAGAGTATGTGAACAAACCCGCTGTAATATTACGCTTAGAGGAGCCTGTAAGTGAGCGTTTAGTTGTTGCTGCCTGGTGGGGAGGAGGTAAGAAAGGGACAAGGGGAGGAGGGGGGAGGGGGGAAGGGAAGGGTGGGGAGGAGGGGAGGGGGCGAAGGGTGAAGGAGGTAAGAAAGGGAAGAGGAGAGGAAGTAAAAGGAGAGGAGGGAGGAGGAAGAAGGGGAGGAGGAAGAGGAGGAGGAAGGAGGAAGAAGGAAGGGGAGGGAAGGATGAGGGAAGAAGAGGAAGGAGGAGATGGTTTCCTTCGGTATCTACTAATTACGACCAACACACACGTCTGGTCAGCTTGTTATCCCTAGAACACCTGAGACCAAAGCAGCTGCGTGTACCTCGTGTTAACCTAGGTAGAAAACCCCCACAAAAAATACAACAAATAATACAATAGTTTATCTCTGTAGTGCTGTATTTTTCCACCAATTATAAAACACCCTGTATCTATCCACCACCAATCACAAAACACCCTGTATCTATCCACCACCAATCACAAAACACCCTGTATCTATCCACCACCAATCACAAAACACCCTGTATCTATCCACCACCAATCACAAAACACCCTGTATTTATCCACCACCAATCACAAAACACCCTGTATCTATCCACCACCAATCACAAAACACCCTGTATCTATCCACCACCAATCACAAAACACCCTGTATCTATCCACCACCAATCACAAAACACCCTGTATCTATCCACCACCAATCACAAAACACCCTGTACTTATCCACCACCAATCACAAAACACCCTGTACTTATCCACCAATCATAACCCAACCTTTATAAGCCACCACGTGTTAAATCCTCGCTCTGAATACTTTAGTTATATTAAAAGCAAATCATCCCCGACTCTCGTTGTGATAGAGTTGTTTTGTCCACGTATTCTCCTCCTCCTCCTCCGCGGGTGACACTACAGAGTATACTTCTTTACCCCATGTGTACGACCCGTGTATTTGAATGTGAATGTGAGGCCAGGTAGTAAAGTATATGTGTATCCATGTGTATGTGTGCCTGTGTGTATGTATCTGTCTGTGTATGTGTGGCGCCAGACTACACACCAATGGCATGATATAATTGAACAACACAGGTGATAAGAAGCCCCCCTCCCCCCCCTACCTACCTGTGATATATATATATATACTCCCCCCTCCCCCCCTACCTACCTGTGATATATATATACTCTCTTTGGGGGGTAATAATAATAACATGGAGTGTATTATGCTTTAGGGGAAACTGATATAAAGAATTTTACATATATATGCAGTATTAGTCGGGTGTTTTCAGGTGTAGGAACAGGTAACTCAACACGAATTTAATTATCCAACGTGGCCGAAATTTTAATCTAAAAATAGTAGTTACGTGGTTATCCTAAAGTGACCTTACCCTATTCTAACCTATTCTTAACTCAAGGTGAACCAAACTTAGCTTAGCCTTAATATAGCCCTAATCTAACTAATCCTTAATTAAACCTTCATAAACTTAACCCAAAACTACTCTAACTAATTCTTAGACTGACCTAACCAAACCTAACTAATCCTTAACCTAACCAAATTTGTTATCAACCTAACCTAACCTAACCTAAAGTGACTTAACCTCAAATTAACCTAGAGCTAAGCCTGTCGCCCGCCCCAATGACGTCATCCGGTACACAGAAAAAAATAATAAACAATAAAAAGCAGAAAAAAAACAGAGGAAAACCAAACAGAAATAGAAAGTACTAAAGTTTTCACAACACAACACAAATCAACACAACACAACACAACAAAGACCTTCCCTCCTTCTCCTCACACACATCACCCTTCCCTCCACACATATACCCCTTCCCTCCCCTCCCCTCCACACATATACCACTTCCCTCCCCTCCCCCACATAAACACCCCCTTCTCCCCTCCTTCCCCCCACACACCCCCTTTCCTCCCTCCCACCCCGCCTCTACTCCAGGCTATCGTACCAGAAGGGCTTCTTTTATTTTATCAGCATCTCTCTCTCTCTCTCTCTCCAAACTTTTTATATGCTGTCCTCTCTCCTATCTCTCCTCTGACAGAGCCTTGAAGAGCTCCCCTGGCACACAAACAAAGAGTTCCACATAGTCCTCTACTAAAATTAGAGCCCCATAGAGACCCCTACTTCACCCAGAGCCCCCAAAACACCCTGCATCACCCAGAGCCCCAAAGAGCCCTCAAGAACCACTCTACAATACACAGAACCCCTAAAGAGTCCTCCTGCTTCACCCAGAGCTCACAAAGAGCCGTCAAGAACCCTCCTGCAGGACCCAGAGCCCCCCTACATCACCCAGAGGCCCCAAGGAACCCCCTTGCATCTCCCAGAGCCCCAGAGCCTCAGGAACTCCTTGCATCTCCCAGGAGCCCAAGAGCCCTCCAAGAACTCCCCTGCAGCACCCAGGGCCCCAAGGAGCCCCGAAGAACCCCCTACATCACCCAGAGCCCCCAGAAACCCCCTTGCATCTCTCAGGGGCCCCAAATTGCCCTCAAGGAGCCCCCTACATCACCCAGAGCCCCACCAGGCCTCAAGAACCCCCTACCTCACCCAGAGCCCCATGAGCCCTCAAGAACCCCACTACATCACCCAGAGCCCCCATGGAGCCACTCAAGAACCCCTCGCCTGCCCAGGGCCCCCGCAGAGCCCTCAAGAACCAATCTCGCTTCACCCCAGAGCCCCCGCAGAGCCCTCCAAGACAGTCTCTACTTCTTGGAGCCCCCAAAACCAATCTGCATCACCCAGAGCCCCAGGCCCTCAAGGAGACCCCCTGTTTCCCCAGAGCCCAAGAACCAGTCTGCAATACTAAGAGCCCAAGGGGCCTCCTGCTGCCCAGAGCCCCCAAAGAGCCCCCTACTTCACCCAGAGCCCCCAAAGAGCCCTCAAAAAGCACTCTACAATACAAAGAGCCCCTAAAAGAGTCCATTCCTAGGAGTTGAGGGGCAAGATACAGTAAGATTAACAGTCAGGATAAACAGACAAGTCCTAAATTGAGGGCCGCTTTTTATCTCGTCTTGTATGTGTATAGTGGGACTCTCTCTCTCTCTCTCTCTCTCTCTCTCTCTCTCTCTCTCTCTCTCTCTCTCTCTCTCTCTCTCTCTCTCTCTTTATGACCTAACTTAGCCTGGCAGCTTTGGCACATCACTGGAATTACCCCTCTGACATAGTCTGTCTCTCTCTCTCTCTCTCTCTCTTCTCTACGTTTATCTAGTCTCTCTCTTCTCCTACGTTTATCTAGTCTCTCTCTCTCTCTACGTTTATCTAGTCTCTCTTTCTCTACGTTTATCTAGTCTCTCTCTCTCTCTACGTTTATCTAGTCTCTCTCTTCTCTACGTTTATCTAGTCTCTCTCTCTCTCTACGTTTATCTAGTCTCTCTCTTCTCTACGTTTATCTAGTCTCTCTCTCTCTCTACGTTTATCTAGTCTCTCTCTCTTCTATACGTTTATCTAGTCTCTCTCTCTCTACGTTTATCTAGTCTCTCTCTATCTACGTTTATCTAGTCTCTCTCTTCTATACGTTTATCTAGTCTCTCTCTCTCTACGTTGTCGATCTCTCTCTCTCTCTCTACGTTTATCTAGTCTCTCTCTCTCTCTCTACGTTTATCTAGTCTCTCTCTTCTCTACGTTTATCTGGTCTCTCTCTCTCTCTACGTTTATCTAGTCTCTCTCTCTTCTATACGTTTATCTAGTCTCTCTCTCTCTCTACGTTTATCTAGTCTCTCTCTTCTCTACGTTTATCTAGTCTCTCTCTTCTCTACGTTTATCTAGTCTCTCTCTTCTCTACGTTTATCTAGTCTCTCTCTTCTCTACGTTTATCTAGTCTCTCTCTATCTCTACGTTTATCTAGTCTCTCTCTCTCTACGTTTATCTAGTCTCTCTCTTCTCTACGTTTATCTAGTCTCTCTCTCTCTCTACGTTTATCTAGTCTCTCTCTTCTCTACGTTTATCTAGTCTCTCTCTCTCTCTACGTTTATCTAGTCTCTCTCTTCTCCTGGTCTCTCTCTCTCTCTACGTTTTATCTGGTCTCTCTCTTCTATACGTTTATCTAGTCTCTCTCTCTCTCTCGTTTATCTAGTCTCTCTATCTACGTTTATCTAGTCTCTCTCTCTTCTATACGTTTATCTAGTCTCTCTCTCTCTACGTTTATCTAGTCTCTCTCTCTCTCTACGTTTATCTGATCTCTCCTCTCTCTCTACGTTTATCTAGTCTCTCTCTTCTCCTACGTTTATCTAGTCTCTCTACTCTCTACGTTTATCTAGTCTCTCTCTCTCTACGTTTATCTAGTCTCTCTCTCTCTCTACGTTTATCTAGGCCTCTCTCTTTCTCTACGTTTATCTAGTCTCTCTCTTCTCTACGTTTATCTAGTCTCTCTCTCTCTCTACGTTTATCTAGTCTCTCTCTTCTCTACGTTTATCTAGTCTCTCTCTTCCTACGTTTATCTAGTCTCTCTCTCTCTCTACGTTTATCTAGTCTCTATCTTCTCTACGTTTATCTAGTCTCTCTCTCTCTACGTTTATCTGGTCTCTCTCTCTACGTTTATCTAGTCTCTCTCTCTCTCTGCGTTTATCTAGTCTCTCTCTCTACGTTTGTTTATCTAGTCTCTCTCTCTCTACGTTTATCTAGTCTCTCTCTTCTATACGTTTTATCTAGTCTCTCTCTCTCTACGTTTATCTAGTCTCTCTCTATCTCTCTATATATCTACGTTTATCTATCTATCAATCTTTATTTGTCTATTTATATCTCGTCTCCCTGTCTCTCTCTCTTTGTTTATTTGTACCCCCCTCTCTCTCTCTCTCTCTCTCTCTCTCTCAGACACATGATGGCACAACGGCAGCAAAATCAAAACATTTCATCAACTGAACTAAATTCGAAGACCAAATTTCAGTAAACTTTCCACAAATAATGAAAATGTGTCGTAATTTTCACTCATTTTTGTCTGAGCGATGAAAATATAAGCTTTAAATCTTGTTGAGGAGAGAGAGGGAGGGAGGAGGAGGAGGGAGGGAAGGGGAGAGGGAGGGAGGAGGAGGAGGAGGGAGGGAGGAGGGAGGAGGAGGGAGGAGGGAGGAAGAGGGAGGGCAGCCTTGAGAGGAGAGACGAGAACAAGATGGAAGGAGGGAGAGGAGGGAGAGAGAGGTAGGAGAGGAAGATGAAGGAAGAGAGAGAGAAGAAAGAGAGAGAGAGAGAGACGAAGGAGAGAGAGAGAGAGAGAGAGAGAGTAATAAGTGGAAGGAAAATGAAGGAAATTAAAGGTGGTGGTTCATTACTAAACAAAGAGTCTGTCTGTCTGTATATCTGTCTCGATCTCACTTTTATTTTCTCTCTGTCTATATTATCTGTCTCTTTCAATTTCTCATTTTTTAACTGCATGTGGTGGAGGGATAGGATGAGGGAGGGAGGGAGGGAGGGACGGACGGAGGTCATTAGCCAGCGCTCATTAAATATAATTGAGCCGATTCCTTTACACATACGAAAAAAAAGGGTTAATTTAATCCATACCGTCCTGAATATGATAAGTCTTCTCTTGAATTTAATCGTGTAAAACAGTATAAAAGTATAAAAAAGTAATAAGTGTAAAAGACAAGTATTAAAAGTATAATAAAAAAGACTACCAATTATTTAAAAGGTATTAAAATATATTAAAAAGTATAGAACAATAAAAACTACAAAAAATAGAAAGAATATTAAAAGGTTATTAAAAACTACAAAAAGTATTTAAAAAGTAATGCATAATTTTTTTTTTTTTAGATTCGTCTGAAATTATTAGCATTTGAATGACGTCATGAGATCGTCTGGTTAAGGTCGTAATACACAAGCAACTCAAGGCCATGGAGCAACTCAAACAACAAACACTATGAAGCAACTCAAATCAACACACAAGGTCATGGAGCAACTCAAAGAAATACATTAAATAGCTCCAACAAAAACTGGAGCAACTTAAACAACCAACTTTGCCAAACTTATGACCAAGTGTATTTGTGGAGCAACTGTCCCCCATCAAGTAGGGTTTTTAATGGACAAATCTGGCTCAAGTTTAGCCATCTTCTTGTTGACGGGGAAGGGGGAGGGAGGATGAAAGGTGTAAGAGGAGGAAAAGGAGCAAGAAGAGGAGGAGGTGAAATCTACAGGGCACTTCCTCCTCCAACCCCTTGAGGATGATGATTTAACCCCTCGAGGACGATGATTTAGCCCCTCGAGGATGATGATTCAACCCCTCGAGGACGATGATTTAACCCCTCGAGGACGATGATTTAACCCCTTGAGGACGATGATTTAACATCTTTTGAGCAAGATGATTTCACCCCCTGAGGACGATGACTTAACTCCTCGAGGACGATGATTTAACCCCTCGAGGACGATGATTTAACCCCTCGAGGATGATGATTCAACTCCTCGAGGACGATGATTTAATTCTCCAGGTCTCACAGGATAAAAAAAAATAATAACTAAATTGTAATGACAAAACTATTTTTTTTTTACAACAAACAAACTGTAGCAACAAGAGATGAAAACAATGTGTGTGTGTGTGTGTGTCTCAGTCTGACGTACATGAGGCTATATCTACCACCACGCTCCTTATCTTTATTGAGATCCATGTATACAATACTGACGAAATTCCCTGCACACATTTTGGGGGAGCAATAACTGACATCTGCTTGAAGGGTCACGTGTGTAAAAAGAGACTGGGGGGGGGGATAGTATTTTTAACATATATATAAACTCATATAGTGTTTTATATATATATGGTTAGTCAGATATATTATGATAACTAGTGTTCATTAGTTGTATATTAATCACATTTATATGACGGCAATAAGTTGATGTTTGTGATTGGTACTTGTTGTCTGACCCGACCACCGATCTGTCTGACCCGACCACCGATCTGTCTGGACCCGACCACCGATCTGTTTGACCCGACCACCGATCTATTTATTATTGATGTTTTTTCTCCTTTTTCCTCCTCCTCCTTCACCTCTGCTGACGTTCCTCCTCCACTACTGACCCTCCTCCTCGACCACTCAGAACAGGTGGTACTCAGGCGGATGTGTTGAGACAATAGGCAGCAGGAGTAAGAGCAGCAGGGCGGCCTCAACACCCCACCACACAGAGGCTGGCCAAGACGCCCTCAAACACCAAACACCTATAACCCCCCCCTCTCTCTCTTCCTCAAACCCAACTCAATAGGCAAGCCTGTAACACTGACTCAATTAACCCATAACCACCACAACCCACATATCCACAAAGCTGTATCCACACATTGTATCTCGTAGCTAAAACAAACGTCTATGCACTAAACTTCTTTGCGCTACAGCTAAAAGGATGAGTATAACATGCACAATAAACTAGCTGTTGTAGATCACCTGAAGAAGAGTCACCCCCCCAACTTATTATTTCACTTTTTTTTTACGGGCATTAGCCCACCCGGCGACAGGTAAATGACCCACATCAGGGCCTGGGGGGAGAAAATATAATAATAAATAATTATTATAATAATCATAATAAAAATATCTATTATTATTAATATTATTATTATTATTACAACAATTAATAAAATTAATAGCAAATTAATACAAATAAAACTATAAAAATAATAACCATAAATACAAAATATAAAAAATAAATCAAGAGTGAGAAATTATATACATTATATATGTTGTCTTGTCAAAGTAAGAAACAATTGAGACCCTGCAATTGTGTGTAAATGAGGCAGAAGGTCAGATGAGCAACCTGGGACTTGGTCACAATTTTTGTGATGCCATATGGCAGCAGGGTCTACCATTAGATAATACATTATGCTTCCAATATCTTCCCAGGCGGTAGTACCTCCCTGTTTGGTAGCTGCCTACTACCTACTATATTAATCACCCTGATATTTATTTATTTTAATTTTTTTTTGGGGGGGGGGTTAGCTTAGG